AAAAAAAATGTTAAAATTCTCTCTCTCTCTCTCTCTCTCTCTCTCTCTCTCCTCACTCTCTCTTTAAAAAAAAAAAAAGAGTGGAAGAAGATACATTTTTCTTCTTCAAGGAATGAACTAGTGTTTCCCAAGTTGCTAGATGCTTTTCCATATAAGATTTCTCATGCTGAGCATGTGACATAGTCCCAGCTCTTTGGTAGGCTGAGACCGAATGATTACTTGAGCCCAGCTTTTGGAAGCCAGCCTGGGCAACATAGTGAGACACCACCCCCCATCTCAAAATAAAATTTTAAAAAGCAAAGAAAAAGATTTCTGTTAATTATCTCAACAGTTGTGTGAGGTGGTTATCATTATTGTTTATTATAGGAAATGGGCTAAAGTACAAAGAATTGAAACAACTTAGTAAGTGATAGAACCTGGACTAGAACACAGACCTTTTGATTTTATAAATATCTAAACAAAACCTGAAGGAAATTATGGAAACTAACCTTTTGCTTATTTCTTTCAAGTCAATGTTGGTGAGGACTGTCCAGTATTCGATGGCCTGTTTGAGTTCTGTCAGTTGTCTACTGGTGGCTCTGTCGGTAAGGAATATACATCCCCTCCCCAAGGATTGTGCTGGGCTCTTCTAGGCCATAATCCTAGTAGGGCTAGGCTTGGTGGTGTATGTCTGTAAGCTCAGCAACTCAGGAGGCTGAGGCAGGAGGATCAAAGCCAGCTTTAGAAATTTAGTGAGGCCCTAAGACACTTAGTGAGACCCTGTCTCAAAATAAAAAATTAAAAAGGCTGGGGATGTGGCTCTATGGTTAAGCACCCTGGGTTCAATCCCTAGTACCAAAAACATCCTGGTAGGGCTGATCTGTAGCCATGGAGAATGGTCCTGTGGGTTTTTGTTTTAGCTCTAAATTTTCCTTTTGGTTTGATCCYAACCTACATTTATTTTCCAACATGATATTAAAAGGTGTTCTTTCCTGTCCTCTCCTACCAAGAGATCTTACATACAGAAATTCCGGGCTGGGATTGTGGCTCAGTGGTAGAGCGCTTGCCTAGCATATGTGAGGCCCTGGGTTCGATCCTCAGCACCACATAAAAATAAATAAATAAAATAAATGTCTATCAACAACTAAAAGAATTTAAAAAAAAGAAAAAAAGAAATTCCCTGCAGACCTCAAGGGGTTATTCAATACTATATGTGAAAGCACTTGTGAATTGCAAAGTGTTATAAAAATGGAAGTGTCATCATCGATGTCTTATGGAAGAATATGGTAATTACCTTCAGAGGTCATAAATATTCCCCATGTGTCTCCCACTTCTACTTGGGTTACCTGTAGGATTACTCTAAATCCTTTCTTAGCGAACAATCATGTGTTGCTTAATGATGGGCACACATTCTGAGAAGTGTGTTGTTAAGGCAGTTTTGTTGTATGAACATTATAGAGTGTGTTTAGACAAACCTAAATTCTATATACCTAAGCTATATAGAATGCGTACGGTATAGCCTATTGTTCCTAGGTCATGATGTACAAAACAGTGTGAGATTAGATCAAGCACCAGAGGAAATGATGTAATCAAGAAATGCAGTAAACATGAGGCTACTGCTAACACAGCATACCATTTTACAGTGAACTTTTTTTTTATTATAAGTAGAAGTACTTTCTAAAATAACTAGAATGTAAATACATAAACCAGTAACATGATCACTTATTATCAAGTATTATGAATTGTACATGATTGTGTGTACTATACTTTTATATGCCTGGCAGTGCTATGGGTTTGTTTATACCAGTATCACCACAGACATGTGAGTAATGAGCTGTACTACAATGTTAGGAAGGCAACAGCTTGCTGGGCATGACAGTGTATGCCTGTAATCTCAGCTACTCAGGAGGCTAAGACAGAAGGTTTACAAGTTTGAGGCCAGCCACAGCAACTTAGTGAGACCCTGTGTCAAAATAAAAAGGGCTGGGGGTGTAGCTCAGTAGTAGAGTGCTTGCCTAGTATCTGTGAGCCCCTAGGTTTGATTCCCACTATTGGGGGTGGGGTGGTACACAAGTCTAAAACTTCACTTAGGTAGTAGTGTTTTAGCTCATTCTTAATCTTTTGGAACCACTGTTGTATGTGTGGTCTGTTGTTAAGCCAAATGTTATGTAGTACATGACTTTATTTTTCTATGATCATTGTTTCCAACCTCTCTTCCTTAACATAACCTCAGAAAACAAAGATATGCACAGAAAAAAAAAATGACCCATATTCACACTGTCTGTGGATAACCACTTTTCATTTTGGTGTTTATTATCCATACTTTTTTCCTGTGTGAATATATCTGAACATAACATCAATATTTTTACAAAAATTTTTTACAAAAAAATATTGCTATATACTATTGTATGTCTGTAATTTTACTTGGTAAATCTTTAAAATTTCTGTTTCTGTAGCATTCTACAGTGGCTGCATGATTATGTACTACTTTGATATATTCTGTCATTTCTTGTTAGATTATTTGGATTGTTCTATGCTTTTATTGTTGCTCAAAAGTCAACACTGCCACAGATACTCATGGGTGTGTGTTTCTCACTTCATTTTGGATCTATTTCTACTTTGGACTAGCACTATTTTTGCTATTTTTTCCAAAATTTTTTACTATGAACTACAGTAAGAAGTACCTTTACACATGCAGTCCAGGATAGTTATGAGTGTGTGTGCATTTACAC